CCTGCACGTTTTGGTTGCCTAGTAACAACAGGCGCAACAGTAGCAGGAGTTCTCAGACATCTGAACAGCCGCTAAACCCCAAATTCCACGTCTCACCTGTTTAGCCTGCGCCCATAAAAACACTAACGTACTGTTTATACTCAGCATGATGTTAAACTGAATCTGTGCATTTTGTGTATGTGAGAAATGACTGGACGTATGAGCCTACTGTACATACTCAACCGCCCCATAATGCACTGCATTATTTCACCAGCTAATTCACTTATATATTATCTCGATATTTGAATCGAGAAATGTTGAGAAGCTCCAGAACCACCAGCGGGGGGAGGGGCTTCTCTCCAGCTGGCCAGTGCGCTCGTTGTTGTTGTTGTTGTTATTACTGTATGTCTCTTTGGTTAAAATCAGCTATAATAATGTAAGGTAGTGTATGACTCCGCCCACTGTCCACCTGTATGACTCAAGTACGTACCGAGCTGACTGAGGTCCAGGGGGGTCCAGTTGAGTCCTGCGGGACAGGACGGAGACAGCGTACGAATACTGACTCGGCCATGAATGTCCAAACCCCACAGGGCATCACGACAGGCAGACAGGTGAGTCAACTCCACCTGAGCACGCAGGTAGAACTCATTATAACATCATCGGAACACAAAGGTAGAACATCAGAGTGCAGAGAGAGCAGAGAGGTACCTCAGGTGGTAGGGGGACGGAGGAGGGGCGGAGCTCTCCATCCTGGTCCCAAACACAGAACAGATCCTTCCTGCTCTGAGCCAACCACAGGAACGTCCCTGAGACACAGGTGACACACAGGTAGACTGATGAACAGGTGTGTTAAATGTGAGAGAGGGGTGGGGCCTGCTGAGGTCTGTGTGTGTGTGTGTGTGTGTGTGTGTGTGTGTGTGTGTGTGTGTGTGTGTGTGTGTGTGTGTGTGTGTGACAGGTGTACAGGTGTACAGGTGTACAGGTGTGTGTGTGTGTGTGTGTGTACAGGTGTGTGACCTTCTCTGTGAGGCACTGCCGAAGAAGTGACGAAGGTCCACCTGGTGGCAGAGACAGTTCCTCGTGGAACGACATTCTGCCAGAAAGTTCCTGCAGGAACCAAACACAGACAGCAGCTGAGAAACTGCAAACTGTAAACACACTGTAAACACACTGTAAAGCACTGTAAACACACTGTACACAAACTGTAAACACACTGTAAACAAACTGTAAACACACTGTAAAGCACTGTCAAGCACTGTAAACACACTGTAAAGCACTGTAAAGCACTGTAAACACACTGTAAACAAACTGTAAACACACTGTAAAGCACTGTAAACACACTGTAAACAAACTGTAAACACACTATAAAGCACTGTAAACACACTGTAAATATACTGTAAACAAACTGTAAAGACATTGTAAACAAACTGTAAACACACTGTAAACACACTGTAAAGCACTGTAAACACACTGTAAATATACTGTAAACAAACTGTAAAGACATTGTAAACAAACTGTAAACACACTGTAAACACACTGTAAAGCACTGTAAACACACTGTAAATATACTGTAAACAAACTGTAAAGACATTGTAAACACACTGTAAACACACTGTAAAGCACTGTAAAGACATTGTAAACACACTGTAAACACACTGTAAAGCACTGTAAAGACATTGTAAACACACTGTAAACACACTGTAAAGCACTGTAAATATACTGTAAACATACATAAATTACTCTAATAAACTGGATTTTACTGGACTCTACTGACCCACAAGACTGCCACGGGCCAGGTGCAGCTGGTTCCTTCCTGAGGCGACCCAGACCCCGCTGGCGTTGGCACTCACCAAGCTCGGCTGGCACTGTGAATACTGCGACAGGAAGGCCACCACCCGCTCCACCGGTGCCCTGGTTACGGTGGCAACACTCTGGGTAGCATGCAGCAGCGTCTGGAACAGACTACCCTGATCGAAGACCACGTAGTCTGAAATACTGATCTGGTAGAGACAGACAGACAGACAGACAGACAGACAGACAGACAGACAGACAGGGTGTTAAGCTGCACACCTGAACTGAGATCAGACTTTAAATATCAAATACAAACTGTCTACCTGCCACCAGTGGTCGTCGTCCCCCTGCGGTCTGGACGAACAGATGCCGGTTCTGAACCACAGACTGCCACTGGCATCCAGCGCCCAGGCCGTACCACCGTCTCCCAGGGCGACACACATCAACTCCAGACCCTGAGCCTCACTGTGACACAGCAACACAATCAAATATATCATCAAACAGTGAACAATAAATCCTTAGATGGCTCATCTCTCCCCCAGCTCATATAAAAAACAGCCCTACTGATTACAATGACCGAGCTAATGATGCTAACAACAACAGATCAGGGGGGAGGTGGTGGAGGAGGTGGAGGACTACAAATACTTGGGAGTGGTGATTGACAACAGACTGGACTGGAAATCTAACACAGAGGCTGTGTAAAAGAAGGGGATGAGCAGACTCATATTCCTGAGGAAGCTGAGATCCTTCAACGTGTGCAGCAAGATGTTGGAGATCTTCTACCAGTCTGTTGTTGCCAGCGACATTTTCTTTGCTGCTGTGTGTTGGGTCAGCAGCATCAGAGCCAGCGACACCAACAGACTTGATAAAATCATCAAGAAGGCTGGCTCTGTACTTGGTCTCAGGCTGGAGTCTTTTGAGTCCGTGGTGGAGAGGAGAATGCTGAATAAACTGTTATCCATCATAGACAATGATGAGCACCCTCTCCATCACACAGTGGTCAGACAGCGGAGCACCTTCTCTCACAGGCTGCTCCAGCTCCGCTGTCGAAGGGACAGATACAGGAAATCTTTCCTGCCACATGCCATCACACTGTACAATAACAGCTAAAACTCTGGTCATAACAATACAGTCTCCAAGCACCTTATATGTTTCTATCTGTTCACTGCACCTTATATTTTTACTTGCACTACAATTATACTGCTTATTTATACATTTTTTATACATTTTTTATACATTTTTACACACGTCTGTGTGTTGTTACTGTGTGTAATGCTGCTGCTACACTGCAATTTCCCAGCTTGGGATCAATAAAATATATCTATCTATCTAATAGTACTTCATACCCAGCTGGAGTACTTGAAAGGCCTTTCCCTCACTGCAGTAATATTACAGTATTATTACAGTAGTATTACAGTAGCAGTAGTATTATAGTATTATTACAGGAGCAGTAGTATTATAGTATTATTGCAGTAGCAGTAGTATTACAGTATTATTACAGTAGCAGTAGTATTACAGTATTATTACAGTAGCAGTAGTATTACAGTATTATTACAGTAGCAGTAGTATTATAGTATTATTACAGTATTATTACAGGAGCAGTAGTATTATAGTATTATTGCAGTAGCAGTAGTATTATAGTATTATTACAGTAGTATTACAGTAGCAGTAGTATTATAGTATTATTACAGTAGTATTACAGTAGCAGTAGTATTATAGTATTATTGCAGTATTATTACAGGAGCAGTAGTATTATAGTATTATTACAGTATTATTACAGTAGCAGTAGTATTATAGTATTATTACAGTATTATTACAGGAGCAGTAGTATTATAGTATTATTACAGTAGTATTACAGTAGCAGTAGTATTACAGTAGCAGTAGTATTATAGTATTATTGCAGTAGCAGTAGTATTACAGTAGCAGTAGTATTATAGTATTATTGCAGTAGCAGTAGTATTACAGTAGCAGTAGTATTATAGTATTATTGCAGTAGTATTACAGTAGCAGTAGTATTACAGTAGCAGTAGTATTACAGTAGCAGTAGTATTATAGTATTATTGCAGTAGCAGTAGTATTACAGTAGCAGTAGTATTACAGTAGCAGTAGTATTATAGTATTATTGCAGTAGCAGTAGTATTACAGTAGCAGTAGTATTATAGTATTATTACAGTAGCAGTAGTATTACAGTAGCAGTAGTATTACAGTAGCAGTAGTATTATAGTATTATTGCAGTAGCAGTAGTATTACAGTAGCAGTAGTATTATAGTATTATTGCAGTAGCAGTAGTATTACAGTAGCAGTAGTATTACAGTAGCAGTAGTATTATAGTATTATTGCAGTTGCAGTAGTACCTGACGGTGTCGTACTTCCAGCCCTCGCCCTCGCTGCAGTAACTGTTCAGTCCCTCTCTGTAGAATAAAGCCTTGTGTTCGCTCAGAGCCCAGACCACGCCTCCTCTCACACACACCTGGCTGAACACGCAGGGAGAGTCCACCTTCACGGAGCGAGCACAGGGGCGGTCCACGCTCAGACCTGATGGACACACAGACACGGCGGTTACTATGGAAACGACTCTGAGCTCCTCAGGTTCTCCTGTTTACACCCTCAAGCTCACCTCCCCGCTCTATTCATTGGGGTTGTGTAACATATGAGTTTCAACCTAAATACACAGGCGATGTGAAGTGCTAGAATACAATATAAATGTTCCAGGAGATTATTTCTGGGATATTTGCTCATTTTACTCCATGAATGGAAAACTAGTCTCTAAATTTCCAGGTTTTCCAGGATGCGTGTCCTGTCTGGCATCTTGGGATGCGTTCACACTCTGTAATCCCAGGTCTAAGGCGGTTGTGTTTTCTGTATTTGCAGCAAGTTTTTTAAATGCTGTGCACGTGTTTTCAGAATCCAATTCTCCTGGTAAATACAAAAAATACTTCACCGGTAACTGTTTACCTCCACTAATTAAACATATTATTTTAATTATCATATTATTTGAATCATCCTGCATGTGAGAGCTGACTCTGCTCACAGTAACACTAATATATTATTAGTGTACTTCTGTAGTCCTGTAGCGTGAATAGTAAAATACACTTGACAGCAGCAGGGTGCCCCCTGCTGGTTTTCAAAGATCAGTGGAGCAACATCAGTCTGACAAATTTAGGCCTTTTTATGCATATGTGCTGTTTAAATAAAAGTTTTTCAAGGCAGAAGATTTCTATCTAAATGTGATTTTAAATAAACTCAAAACCCAGTTTATGATTTACTTTACTTCCCAAAACAGTGAAGGTCAGTAGAAGAATAAAAGGGGGGGGGGGGGGGGGTCCAACTCTTCCTCACAGGTTAGTTAAGACAGACAATTAAAACTGTTATAATAGGCGATGGTCAGTGAGTGTTTTTTTTTTTCCCACCCTCCCCCACAGGTTAGTTAATGACAGCGTCGTGGTGTGTTGTGTCCAACTCTTCCTCACAGGTTAGTTAATGACAGACAGTCAGTGAGTGTGTCTGTGTCCAACTCTTCCTCACAGGTTAGTTAATGACACGTCGCCCTTCCTCACAGGTAGTAATACAACGTCATGAGTGTGTCTCCTTCCTCACAGTAGTAAGACAGTCAGTGTCTGTGTCAACTCTTCCTCACAGGTTAGTTAATGATGTTACTGAGTCAATGTGAGCAGATTGTGTCTGTAGACTGAAGAGAATCAGAGTCTCACTGATGGTGGAAATAAAGGTTTTACTTCCTTAAAACAGCCGTTTTTTGAATGGAGTTTGGTGTGACAGTGTGGAGCAGAGGGGATTTGAACCTTAATAATTCCCATAAACTGAGCTGACCTACCTTCTAATAATGAACCTTGGAAACAGCAGAAAGAAACAGGAAGTGGACATAAACCCGCCTGTTTTCTTCTTCTGTGGTCTCGTAATAAAAGGTAGATTATTGAACGGTTCAGGATCCTAACAGCTAAAGATCAATACAGCATTCTTATTTTAGGACATTAAATCCACAAAGACCTCAGAATTTACATTTACTGCCAGTCCAATTAGAGCGGCTGCTCTCACACACAAGGGGGCGGGGCTTTACACAGTTTTATTTTTTTATTTGGTTTCTTCACACCAGCAGCAACATGAGAGACAGACAGGTTAGTTACCCGTCTGCAGGTAGTTAGTTACCTGTCTGCAGGTGGTTAGTTACCTGTCTGCAGGCAGTTGGTTACCTGTCTGCAGGTAGTTGGTTACCTGTCTGCAGGTGGTTAGCTACCTGTCTGCAGGTAGTTAGTTACCCGTCTGCAGGTGGTTAGTTACCCGTCTGCAGGCGGTTGGTTACCTGTCTGCAGGCGGTTGGTTACCTGTCTGCAGGTAGTTGGTTACCTGTATACAGGTAGTTGGTTACCTGTCTGCAGGCGGTTGGTTACCTGTCTGCAGGTAGTTGGTTACCTGTCTGCAGGTGGTTGGTTACCTGTCTGCAGGTAGTTGGTTACCTGTCTGCAGGTAGTTGGTTACCTGTCTGCAGGTAGTTGGTTACCTGTCTGCAGGCGGTTGGTTACCTGTCTGCAGGTAGTTGGTTACCTGTCTGCAGGTAGTTGGTTACCTGTCTGCAGGTAGTTGGTTACCTGTCTGCAGGCGTTGGTTATGTTGGTTACCTGTCTGCAGGCGTTGGTTACCTGTCTGCAGGTAGTTGGTTACCTGTCTGCAGGTAGTTGGTTACCTGTATACAGGTAGTTGGTTACCTGTCTGCAGGCGGTTGGTTACCTGTCTGCAGGTAGTTGGTTACCTGTCTGCAGGTAGAGGTCTCCGTTGGTCCTGATGATCCAGGCGGAGTCGTCGCTCAGGGCCACAAAGGCTGTTTGCTCCACAGCTTTATACCAGTGACGCTTTCCTTTAACAGATACTTTAGCACAAGCAAACGCCGTCATGCTCTTCTGCTCCACCTTCCACAGCAGATTACCTGGTGGAGTTAGCAACAGTTAGCATTCGGTTAATGCTACATACACCTGTACGGCAGTCTGCTTCCTCCTTTAACAGAGACAAACTGATGAAGTTACTTTTGCAAAAACAGAGTAAAAGCTGACAGTTTGCCAACAGCAGGTGGAGCAGCACCACCGAGTGTTACAATGAAAAGAGGATCTGTGGGGGGGGGGTCAGCAGCTCACCTGAAGGTGATAACGCCACCTGGTGGACATTGTCTTCAAAGCGCTGCCAGGTGAGTCCAGTTTCAGGCAGAGTGCTGCAGAACAGTCCTCCTTTAAAGTCCAGACACCACACAAACCTGAAACACGGGTCACCTTTAGGACACCTTTAGGACACCTTTAGGACACCTTTAGGACACCTTTAGGACACCTGTCAGTCACCCAACCACCCACCTGTCAGTCACCTGTAGGCTCAGTATTCCACATCCTGGTCCTGAGTATCCCATCCAGCTCTCTGCCAACTGGACAGAGAGAGACAATAATAATGAAAACACCTGCTGACACACTCACCTGCTCAGGTTTATGTGTCTCACCTGGCCAGCTCTGTTTGTGTGTGTCTCACCTGCTCAGGTTTGTGTGTGTCCCTGTCCTGAGTGTCCTGGTCTGACTGTCTGTCTATTGCCTTCTCCGCCTGATTGGATGCACAGGTGAGGACTTCCCCCCCGCTGCCAGCAGGGGGCCCAGTGTGACAGTAGATGTCTCCCTCTTCATCACTGGACATACTGGGTTTCCTGTCCAGACTGGACATAGTGGAGTAAAACATCTGGTCCGCCAGACCAGCAGGGGGCGCCAGGTCTTCACCCTGCACACAAACACAGAGGAAACTCAAACCTGGCCAATGCTTTTATCCCAAACAATGACAAAATAAGAGGAATTATAGAGTGAAGCCACCAAACAGGAAGAAAATTATTATATATATTACAAATAGACTCAAACCTCACACCGGACTGTGAGGAGCCCACAGACAGCTGCTGGAGCCCACAGACAGCTGCTGGAGCCCACAGACAGCTACTGGAGCCCACAGACAGCTGCTGGAGCCCACAGACAGCTGCTGGAGCCCACAGACAGCTACTGGAGCCCGGGGAGCTCTGCAGGAGCGAGCCCATACTCAGTCCCACCGGTTCTGGAGACGTTTACACTCCAGCCAGGGAGGAAGGATGCAGACTAAAAAAGTGTGTCAGGTGGGTCCAGGAGTACGAGGACTACAACTGATATTTAATTAGTTTAGGTATAACAAAGGCTCGATCATCAACCCACCTCCTCCTCCTCCTCCTCCTCCTCTTCATCTGGTCCAATCAGAGGGCTCAGAAACTCGTCCTCCTGCTCTTCCATTGGCTGCTGCTCCTGTCCATCCTCCTCCTCAGTGTTGTGCATGTAGGAGAAGGTGCACTCCAGCAGCAGATCTACATCAGGGGTCGGGGGGACAACCTCTGCCTCTGCACCGGGACCAGAGGCCTTTCCTGGGGTCAGCTGGTTCTCCAGACCTTGGAGGAGTAGGGAGCCTGGAGGGAGGAGGGAGCTGGGACAAGACAACAAGCATGAGACAGGTAGTCAGAGGAGGAGACAACAAGCATGAGACAGGCTGACACTGTTTCAGATACTAACCCAGCCTGGTTGCAGGAGGACTCCCCCTCCTCTCCATCCTTTACACCTCGGTCCTGGTCCTGATCCGGAGAGTCCTGGTTCTGAAGGTCCAGGCCAACGAGGGAGGCTCGGTCACTCAGAGGAGTTCCACTTCCACCATCGCTGCAGCTGCTGTCCTGGACTACAAACATGGAGTCTGAGCAGCTGCTCTCAGAGAGACGGGTCCCACTGCTGCTGTCTGAGGACACAGAGACACATAACAGTCACAGTCCTGTCTGTCTCTCAGTCTGTCAGTCAGTCTGTCTCTCAGTCTGTCTGTCTGTCTGTCTGTCTATCTGTCTCAGTCTGTCTGTCTGTCTGTCTCTCTCTCTCTCTCTCTCTCTCTCTCTCTCTAAGCCTGTCTGTCTCTCAGTCTGTCTGTCTCAATTCAAATGGCTTTATTGACATAACGTAACACTGTACATATTGCCAAAGCAAGCGTTTGGAATTAAAAATAATAATAATAACAATAAAGGAAAACAATATTTACAATAAATTAATTATAATCTACACTGTTGGTAATACTGTAACTATGATTGACTCAATCACAGTCACAGTCACAATCAATCAATCTCAGTCAATAAGTAATTAATTAAATCAATCAATCAGTCAGTTTGTGTTAAATAAAAATGTCATTAAAACAGAAGTAAAGTAACTACAGTTAAAACAAGTAATCTGTTGTCAATATAACAGTAATAACAAATTATTAAATCTAATATATAATATATATAATATTAAAATATATTAAAATTAAATAGATAGACAAAACTGTAAACGTGTGTGTGTGTGTGTGTGTGTGTGTGTGTGTATATATTAAAAAACAACAACAACAAAAAAACAACAACTAAAACAATCAGTTATTTTATACTTTTATCTGAGTTTCCACTGGTCGTCCTCAGTTCGTGGCATGAGGAGACATATTTTGCTGCAATAATTTGACTTTTGGGCATTTCTCCCAGTAAATAGGGGAGTTTCTGTGTGTCTGATAATAATTTGAATTCGGGGAATATTTGGGAAATGTTTGCGAATTGTTTTTCTCTTAAAGTTTTGAATTTAGGGCATGAGGTTAGAAAGTGCAGCTCTGTCTCTCAGTCTGTTTCTCTCTGTGTCTCTCTCTCTTTCTCTCTCTCAGTCTGTCTCTCTCTGTGTCTCTCTCTCTCTCTCTCTCAGTCTGTCTCTCTCTCAGTCTGTCTCTCTCTCTGTCTCTCAGTCTGTCTCTCAGTCTGTCTGTCTCTCAGTCTTTCTGTCTCTCTTAGTCTGTCTGTCTCGCTCTCAGTCTGTCTGTCTGCTTGCCTTGCCGTCTCCTCTTCTTCTTCTTCACCCTGATGGCTTTGACCACCAGCTCCTGCTGCATCTCCCCCTGCCCCAGGGGGGCGCTGTAGCGTCTGGAGTTCAGCTCGCAGGATGTGGTCCCTGGGCCGTTTCCATGGAGACTGTCCCAGGAAGTGACAGAGCTGCTGCGGCTACGAGAGCTGCTGGTGAACACACCGGACCGCTGGCAGAGCTGCTCCGTCACCTCCAGCTGCTCCTCCGCCTCCTCCACTTCCTCCACTCCTTCCTCCTCTTCCTCCTTCTCTCCCTCCTCGCTGTGCCTCTCCCATCCCCCTCCCCCTCCTCCTCCTCCTCCTCCTCCCTCTTCCCTCCCCCCACCCTCCACGATGATAGCCATGGTTCTGATTGGCTGAGCTGTTTCCACTGATCCGGTCGGTGGGAGGATGGTGGGTGTGGTCAATGGTGAGGACAGACGGACGGAGAGCTCCGACACTGACGGAGAGAGAGAGACAGGTGAGTCAGATATATATATATATATATATCAGATATTACCTACTCAGGGCTAACAGAGGAGCAGCAGGAGGAGGAGTAATAGTACTCACAGTTGGAGGCCAGTCCCTCGGGGCTGTTGGAGAGACGGATGATGTCTCTGTCTCCTTTCAGGATGAAGATCTCATTATCACAACACGACACTGACACAATGTCTCCACTGCTCTCCAAGGTCCCGATTATCACCTGAACACATCAAACACAAACCCATCAGATATTACACATTAATATTCACATATACTCAAATCAATGAAAATACACTAATGTTTTAGTAGTGTTATAGTGAGGTATTGGAATGGCAACTGTGCCTAATATACAGACTCTGTTGACTGTACTGTCGCAGTAGTAGAACCTCAATAACCGGAACATAGATGCTGTACTATAAGTAACTGCAGTACCTCGTTGATACAGTCCAGGACGTAGATGCTGTACTCATTCCAGCTGAGGATCCAGCCCTCTCTGAGGAAACAGCTGAGCAGACCAAGCTGTCTCTCTGCTGGACGGTATGCTCCGATTGGACCAGGACGAGGAAACAACTCAAACTGAGGGATCTTAGACAGACAGACAGACGTAATGAATGTAGTTATTAATAGTTGTAGATACAGTAGGAGCAGTAACGTGGCTCAGACAGGTGACCTTCCCACAGTACCTGTGTGTTGAACAGTGGTTTGAGCAGTCGGGTCTCCTCCACCTGTCCTCTGATGTCAGACCTCCACAGTCTGAGACCAGGTCGAGCAGCAAACACCTGAAGATCGCTCTGTTTACAAAGACCCGGCAGGAAGCAGGCTCCGAACCTGCCGCTGCTGCCATCACAACACCAAAAATACTTACTGTACAATACTCTACAACCGCTGTCAATACTGTCCATTCTCTACAAATACTGTCATGTTGCATGTTCCAAGCGTGTTGTATGTCCCAGGTATGTAGTATGTGTACCTCTTGCGGGGTTTGGTACCCAGCTGCTGGACTTCCTGTTTCTGAGTGCAGTACAGTAGAGATCTCTGCTGGGTTGAGACCAGCAGCACCTGGTGACTGTACTCCATCTGGACCACACCTGAGGACTCCTCCAACAGCAGCACAGGTTTACACACACCCTGCACACACACACACACACACAGAGTCAGGAAGGTGTGTTCAGTTATCTGAAGTTAACAGTTATCTGTTAACTTCTTTCTGCTTTTGTTTGTCTGGTAAGAATCTGAACATCAATAAAACAAATAATTCCATTAAATACAATGTTTTATTATTTTCTGCCATGTTAAAGACAAATGTGTGTTCAGCCAGTAGAGCACCAACTTAAGCCCACAACTGTTAAGTTTCTGTTCAGTGTGGGTCTCCAGCAGTTACACTGACAGATGCTAACCTGAATATGTTGGACAGTTAGCATTAATAATCAGCTTTATGGACAGTATAGGAGGTTTGGGGCTTGTTGAGGATGCTGAATCCATTTCTGACATTTTCAAAATACTAAATGATTTTTGCGATTCTTTATATGATGAATATATAACTGAAGCAGCAAAGACAAAATGCTGCACAGCAATAAAACCTGAACCAATCTGAACTAAATTTTACAATGCAGCTCCAATGAATATTAAAAATATAAAAACCTCAAAATCTGAAACATGGCCACTTCTGGTTTCAGCGTCCATTTTGTATTTTGTCAGAATGGATTCAGCATCGTCAATAACCCCAAACCCTCTCCGATATTGTCCCAATCAGCCGATCAGGTGCTGAGATATCGTCCATATAACTGATTATTATTGCTAATGATGCTAATTGTCCAACATATGCAGATTAGCATCAGTCAGTGTAACAGCTGGAGACCCAGACTGAACAGTTCGTGCTGCTGTGTTGACTAAAAGTGATTCATCGAGAAAATAATCTGCAAATGAATTAGCTTTATGGTTGTGTTGTTGTGTTTACCTGGTCCAGGTCCAGAGAGGAGAATACCACTCGTCCCTTATCGTCTCCAGAGAAAAGTTTCATCCCGTTGGTGCTCCACGCCAAAGACGTGACGGACCCTTTATGGAGGCCGACCACATCAAACCGCCTCAGCTGCACAGGAAGAGAGAGAAACGGTGGTTATAGAGGGAATAGAGAGAACCTGGGAGAGATTTCACAAACAAATAATGAGGATGTAACGTGTTGGGTGTCAACAGCTCCTGCTGCACCTGTCTGAAACACACCTGTCGACCTGCTCACCTGTTTATTTCGACCAGGAAGTGGAGACACCAGCTGGAAGACTGCGACTCGACCAGACGCTGTTCCCACGGCAACCAGATCATCAAAACAGCTGAGCAGCTTCACAGCCGTGATCGCATCGCTCTTTCCCTGTTACACACACACAGACACACACTGTAGATCAATGCATTCTGGGATACTGAGGACTTTTTCAGTAAGGACAGGAAGTTCAAATTGAACTTCACACAGCGTCCCACTGTTCCTACAGCGGACGTTGCTCCACTGGTTTCTGTTTACAGGTTAATCAACAGGTCGAACTGAGAGTGAGTTTTAAAAGCGCCTTCTGCTGGACCACATGTCAGACTACTTTAAACACGCTGTGATTATAGACTTTATAGAAGTTTAAATTCAAAACAAAAACAGAAAATGTTCCCCATATCGAACAATAGTTATGACTTTAATGAATAAAAAGTGCAGCCATACTAAGGACTGAACCAAGACCCAGCTGGACCTCCTGTAAAAACAGACAGAGAACCATAGAAGAAGAGCTCTGACCTCCAAACTGTACTTGTTCATATGTGCAAGGCGGCGGCAGTACAGGTAGAGCATGCCGATGCTGCTGCCCACCGCCAGGAAGTCACTGCTGCTGTCCAGAGCCGTCAGGTAGACCAGGACGGACCTGAACCCACGCTGCACCTGCAGCAGAGAGAGAGGCAGGAGCCTTCATCATCAGCATCATCATGATCAATATTAACATCCTCATTAATGTCAACATAAGGTTCATTAATATAAACATTGTCATGACAGGTGTCAAACTCATGATCCTTCATAAAAAGTTTATTTTTTTTAAAGAAGTGATTTAAAAGTGATTAAATGATTCTGGAGTCCTGACTGTAGTCCTGAACCAGGACCTGGGAGCAGCCAGCAGGGCCCTGCCTGAGGATCTGAGACTGTGGCTGTAATGTAACTGAGAGCTAAACAGGGACATGCTTTAAAGGTAAAATCTTAAAACAAATACCATCTTTCTAGTATTAAAGTTGAAGATTTCTGACCGTGAAAACTATAAATTACAATAATCTACCTGAGACAAAATAAGAGCATGAGGTGAGATATTATTCCCAGGTTGTCGACAGGGAGACGGGATGTTTTTGTAAAACAGCGACCTTCCTGTCCGACACTGCTGACCTTTGTATTTGACCTGCCTAAGTTCTGAAATGTGTTTGTTTAAAGTCATGGAGGTCATTTCACTGAGCAGTTGGTCTCCTGACTCACAGGACGCCGCCCTACTCGTCTCCATTCAATCTTTTTCTGATGTTAGTTGTTAACTAGAATTTAAATTCTTAGTAAATAGTATAGTTAATAAGTGATGCGTCCGTGGCTTCATCATCACCGACCACTACGGTAAAAGTTATGATTGGTAAATAAGATCTTTTGAAGCTGATCCAGTGTTGAATGCTGGGTAAAAGATTCAGCATAGATAAGTAAATGCAATCAGCAGAGGGGTCGTAGTGTGGAGGAAGATCACCAGTTTAATTTAATCTCATTTGTTCTTTAGAAAATATTCCCAGATCATGGAGGAGGGCTCGATACGGATTCTCTTCTTCTCTTTTCCGACTGGAGAATATGTGTCACCTTCTGCTTATCTCATGAACCAACAACAAATGCTCCACCTGGTTTGGAACGGTTCAGTACCTTGGCTGGGATGGCGTTCAGCAGGTAGTAGAGTGGGCAGAACTCTCTCAGGACGGACGGAGGGGTCGGCTGGGCGGCCATGTTTCTGCCAAAGCTGGTCCTGAAAGTCATTTTATAACCTCCATTTAAAAACACATGAAATGAACCTTTACAAGAGTCATTTATTACTCTTAATATTTAACAGCTTAGACAACCATAGACAATTCAAATTCATTCATCAATGTGTTGTGTTCTGTAGTGAACATATGCTCAAAAGAACAGATAGGTAAAATGGTAAAATGTACGTTTTATTGAGTGAAGTTTGGTTTGACAATGAATTTTCTGCCCTGATCAGCTGGAGAGAACTCTGCGCCAAACTCTGCTACAAAAATCATCAGTTTAGAGTTTCCTTGCTCTGTGTTTGACCACATAAACAGTGTTGAAATAAGACATAAAGAGCTGCTGGGATTTATTTAAGGTTACAGTATTGAGCATTGTACAACAATAAAAGTAAAGGTTTAATGAGTGAACAGCAGATTCTCCTGCACTACTCTGTCCTCACTCCAGCCACAGAGGGCGGCAGCGGACAGCGCCAACACACGTTAACAGCTCATCTGTCACATCATTAAAACGCTGTTTGGTGGTCAGACACTCACCGAATTACACCGAACACGTAACCGAAGTGAAATAAACCGAACACCGTGCTCCGCAGTTCATTCACCCGGTCCAAACTCAAGATCATTATTAAATGGACCATTTGTTTAAGGGGGTTTGGTGTGACGCTGTATCTACGGGAGGTGACTGCGGGTTAGCTCAGCAGGCTGCTCTGAAATCTGACAGCTAACGTCCATAAAAACAACAGAATGTCAACAAAACAAACAAACAAACAAACAAACAAACAAACACCATGTTATTTACTGAGTTGTCTTGTCTCGCCTGGCTAGCATGAACTAACTGGCCGTTAGCAGGACAT